TGCGATAGACTTACTTCCACGTGGTGCACCCTGGGCAACGGCAAAAAAGTCTATTAACCGGCAGTTGACTTCTGACTCCAAACTACCATAACCCCACTGGATGCCATATTCTACCACTTCCACAGTAATCATCCAACCTATTCTCTGCCTTTGTGTCTGTCTCTTTTACAACTGTAAACCACTCTTCTGTTCCCCATCCCTCGACTTTCTGTCCACTTTGGTGTTCCTTCCCCCTGTGAAGCCCGAAGTCAGCTAAAGGGCTAATGGTAACTATCAAAACGCCTGCCATTTGAAATAAATAAATAAATAAATGCTCCTTCATTCTGACTATGTAATCATAATATGGATATAATCAACTTTCGGAGAATTGGATTCCTTGTCATCTCTTCTGAGATACAACTTAAGGAATATTCAAAAGCCCAGTTACTTGAGTCTGTTCTGCCACAGCGTCCATTAATTCATCATCATCGTCAACACTCTGATTATCATCGTCTTTCTGCTGATTGTCCGAAGTGGATGAATGATCTGTGGAGGTCGAGGGAAGGCTAAGTTGATTGGGCGGGGCCGGTAATTGATTGGCTTGTGTAGTTTGAGATGCCTCATGTTGGAGTTGAAGTTGGCTTGGATGGGACGATGACCCAGATTGGGTGATTGTTGGAAAAGGCGGTCGGTTGTGTCCAGTGTTTTGATTAGCTATTTGGGCGCGCATTGATCGTAGACGATACCGCTCGAATCGTTCATAGCTAGATACAGCAAAGTACATAACGGAAATTGGGACGAAAGATCATTAAAAGTAAGCACAAAATATTACCGCTGGAAAGCACTGTTAAGTTCATCGTTCAATTGAAGAAGTGTGAGTGTCGCGGCATCGTCAGCAACTTGGGAAAGGAACCCAGCCACTCGCTGTTGCATCATTCGGCACGTCTCGTTCAGCTCCTAAAATGGCAAAAAATGGCTTAATTAGCTGAGGAGGACGTCCGGCCGTATAAGGTGAAAAGCACTTGCGTGCCAAAACACAGAACTGTTAAATTTTTGTCAGGAGGAAAAGCGAGCATCCCACAGAATTGAATGGCAGAGAGTCACTTTATTCCATAAGGCTCAAAATTTAAAGGTAGAATAAGGCCTTTACTCCACATGCCACAGTAATAAAACCCTACAAAGTCTCTATCCGCTTCGACATCTGCCCACAGGCGTAAACGATTTTGCGTGTGCAAGACTAATAGAATGCAGAAATATCTATACATGAAGTATGTTCTGTACTATATTCCAGATTGAATCTTGGTTTCATTAGGAAGAGAGGAAAGTAAAGCATTTTAATGATTTGACGGGCGTTTTGCATCACATTCACAGCCAATGTTTTTGAATGAATAATTTTGAGATTAGGTTACAAAGTAGACATAAATCTGAATTTAGCACATTGCTATTTTGTAGTTACTACAACTCGAATTGCTTAAAATTAAAAGAAAATAATCAGAATATAGTGAGGTAGTGATAAAAATTAATTAACAATAGCAGTAATTAAAGATGGTAAACATAGACAGGAGAATTCAAGACGAGAATAAGGAGAGATGCAACCAAGAACATGGTCAGACGCATGAGGTCCACTTAAACTAAACCATTTTCGCTTGATCACGTGTGCTAGAATGAATTGTCGTTGAATAACGTCGTAAAAAACACAACAGAAGGTGCTATATGAAAGCAAGAATGCCAATAACCTGCGTCATATCAAAGTAATTTGAACAAAAAGTAAGAATGAAATCAATAGATTCAGATCAACGTTTCATTTATTCGTGATAAGAATTAGAATTTGAATATAGCGAATATCGTTACTCGATAAAATTGAAAGAAGCAAAACCATTTGCGCTTCAAGCATTCTCTCTCTCAAATGATAGATTAAGACCAATCAATAATTTTACTGTGTTCGAAGTAATTGACTACGCTTTCAAAAGCCGACACAATTTCACAAACGTAAGGTTAGAAGGGAGAAAAATGTAACTATCCGATAGTGGGAATACTTCATTATAGACCATTAAGAAAAGATTTCAAGAACATGGAAGTCAAAATTTATATTTCTAAAACATGGGCGGGTACGATAGTTTGGAGGAACACATTTAATAAGCTAATACTATTGAGCTAATATAAGTAGTATGATTAAGTATAAGTATGATTATGAAAAGACCGAAATTGAAATATAAGGAAAATCTTAAACCACCACGAAACGCATTTCCATATAAATATTTATCTGAAATGATTCCAAATGACAGTTTATAAATCCGGACTTACTTGAAGTAGCTCCAGATCATCTGACGAAATCGCATCAGGTTGAAGTTCAGTCAGCATATCATTGAGAATGTGCAGATTTGTCTGCACAACCGCCAGATCCTGACTAAGTCTTTCCCTTTGTGCACTGCTCAAACGGCGAACTGTACCCTCTTGATCGATAAGAGTTTGATCAGCAGTTAAATTGTACATTTGCGTTGGAAGGGAGTGATGACTATTCAATGGTTCTTGCGCCTGTTGGGGTGAGTGATGACGCTGATTCTGATATCGACTGTGCTGATGCTGCTGCTGCTGCTGATGGTTCATGAATGTACGCGGGGTGGCCGCAAAAAATACTTCTTGACCTTAAGAAAGAGGAAGCAATCGAATAAGATATTTAATAACTCATGCCAAAGCTTATTGAAATAATTTTGAGTGAAATAGGTAAAACATTTCGAATAAACGCATAAAAATATGATTTGCCTTAGTGGCACGAAGGCGGCAAAGATTCTTAAAGAGTACTGGAACACCAATTAAATGCATTAAGCAGTACTAAGAGAGTCTTGTTCACAGTCAAAAAATAATAAATAAATGGTGATGAGTGACTGGTAAGCTATAGTATAATCGTACTAATGAAAATGCGAATAAAAATCACCCCCCCCCGGTCACCTGACACTGAAAGATAAGTGACATTTTGACATTCACAATAGGCTGAAAATGACAACTTAGTGAAAAGTGCACAAATATTTGAACAGAAAATTTTCTAACCAAATTTAAAAGTTAAATCTACGACTTATAACAATATAACAGAATTAAGCACTGGAAGTAATGTGAGTACAACGAATCGTGTCACTTTGCCAAAGGAGAGAATTTAATCAACAAGAAAATGAGCACAGATTTTCAACAAAATATCCCTCCTCGTATATATGAGAGTCAATCTACGAAATTGGATTATGAGAATATTGCAAACTATTTCAGGAATTTGAAATCGTCGTTGTAAAGGTTCCATTGCAAGCTCTTTAATACCTTTCATGATTAAAGCCAATACAAGTTTATGCGATTCCGTAGATATAAAAAAATGAGAATGGTCGCAAACCACTGGTGTTCATTATAAAATATTTATAAAAATAATAATTGTATCGCAATTAAGTGCAAAATATGCATTTAAAATTCAAAATGCAACACACGAGAGGCTTAATCAATTGCCACCTTTGTCAAATAAAAGAATAATTTAAAATTCAAATTGATTTTAAAAAAAATTACGTCAAAAAATTACCTAATTGAAACAACTGCTTTGACACCTTCAAAGGGAGACAAAATACGAGTGAGGCGATAACTAACTTGAGGACTGTTTATTTATTTTAATGTAAATTATTATTAACTCATTCGGAAGGAAGGTAGCTTCGTACAAAATGCAATTATTTTCTTCACTTTCCTTAAAAGGTTTTTTTAAAAAAATAAATTTTTTTAGGGGAAAGAATCGGGCGCCACTTCCATAATAAGCAACAATGGTAATCAGACAAAAGAGAATTCATAGACACCGAGGAAAGCCTGTTTGAGAAAGATTATTAGCAAATTTTTGAAAATAAAAGGCTAATCAGAATGCAAATGGGAAGAGATTCGTCACCTCCCTATAGGAAATTTTCCATATACTATTTAGTGTTCCTATCGTGTCCTCGAACCAACATGCTCGCACTGAGATACTCTACATTGCAATACGCTAGAGCGCTTCCCATTAACTTCCCAACATCCTTACAATGTTCAAATACTAAATCAGTGGGTTCCTCCAAGTGTAGAGCGGCCCCAACAGATAAACTCCTCCACTTTGTCCAGACTTGGCTGAATACCTCACTGACCTCTATTCAAGGCCTAGATGAGTCCTTCACCTCTCAGTGGCCAGAATACTTTTATTTTAATGGCCTTGATCGAATTTTCTGGTGAGGGGTGGGGTCGTGGCTTCATTTTTCTTAAGAGGCATAGCTCACTGACTCAAATCTTCTCGATGATCAAATATCATCATCATCATCAGCATCATCGCCTTAGCGCCAGGATGCGCATTAGATACAAAGACTAAATAACTTAGCGAACATAGCCACTTTCAATGAAATAAGCTCACTTGTATCGCCAATTACACAATTCAAGATTGTTTACAATGCTAAATTCCCATCCCCATTGGCAAATTGTCGCTTGATGAGTGACCAATAACTAAACAAGGACAAAAAAAACATTTCTCCTCGGTATAATTGACTCACAGGAATAAAAAAACCAAACATCTTTTGGAAGATATGCATAAAGAGGAACGATGAAATGAAATGCAAGAAGTATGGGAGAATCTTTCCCGGAAATATATACACACATTTTAAGAGGTTTGTAGGGCAAAGGCAATACCCACTTCCTCCTCCTCTTAGTTGCTTGAGTGTGTTAGAGAAAATTACCCAGTAGAAAGTGATTCATTCTTCCGGAGGTAATGCAAATCTCACTGCCTTAAAATAAACTGTTCCGAAAATGGAATTAGAATTGCTATAGCGATTTGAAGGCAAGAATATGAAATTGCGTTAATAGCACTTTGAAGATTCAGTATTTGAAAACCGATTTCATGAATCAAAATAGGACATTATATACCACTCATTAAGCCAGTATTTTTTTTCCTTTTTCATTTATATAATAAGTTACAACACCTGGCAATGACCTGATTGGCAGCTTTAATGCAAATTAACAAAATAAAAAGCAAACAGTTGTTAGTGGCCGATTATTATTCTCTAACTAGATTCCCATGACTTGTATGTGCAGAGTGGATCAACTTTCAGGAATACAAAGGTAGTAAGCCAGACATTAGCCAGTGGCTACCAATTTCCGTTGCGAATTTCCCGCACAATCCAAAATTAGAACTCAAAGCAAAATTGTCAAAAAAATAATTAAATTACAGTATTCAGATAAACTTAAAGGAAACCATTTGCCAAATTGTTCACACATTGATTAACTAATTTCTTAATATTGTTCCTGGGGTGTGCAATAGACTTACCTCCACGTGGTGCACCCTGGGCAACGTATACTCATACGGCAAAAAAAGTCTATTGACTGGCAGTTGACTTCTCACTTCAAACTACCATCACCTCACCCTATGCCATATTCGAATATTTTCGCAGTACTCATCTCACCTTTGTTCTACCTTTGTGTTTGTCTCTTACATCTTTGGAACACTCTTCTGTTCCCCCTCCCCTCTCGACTTTTTTTCAATTTGATGTACCTTCCCCTCTGTGAAGCCTGAAGTCAACTAAAGGGCTAATAATAACCATCAAGACGCCTGCCATTTGATATAAATAAATAAAATAAATGACATTGTTCCTAATATTTTGAAAATTTAAATATTCAAATATGAGAAATTTTGCGTTGTAATTAATAATACTTCCTTTCTTACGAATTAGCAGTCATTTGGCAGTGAATGTTAATTAATAAATAAATGCATAAAAAATAATGGAACATTGTGAGAGAAAAAAATGAGATTTTGGAGAATACATGGTTGTCATGGCAAATAATATAACAATCTTAATGGCTTATCTCCTGCAACCGATCAGAAAAAATAGACGTTTATTGGAGCGCAATCAGAATAAACTATAATTCAAATTGGTGTATTCTAAAAAACCCCGTTGACATAATCATTGGAGAAAAGAATATAACGAAATTCTATGACGGAATGTCCAAATCGCAAAAGCCCAGCACTGTGTATCTTAGCCATTAATCTATCCAGAAATCCATGAGATAAGTAATGGAGAGTCATAAAATAAAAGATTCAGAATAAATCTACCTGATTTACATGAAAAAGAAAATTCTACTTTGTCAATCCGTAAGAATCATCCTTCCCACACCCCCCCCCCCTCGAATTTCGACAAATGAAATAGCAAGTAAAGATGGAATTTAAAAATTCAATGAATTTCGACTTTCAAATGCATGGCGGTTGTTTTAAACACCTTTCCAATTTATTCTAGGCCAAATAAAACATAAATATAATTTTAACATTTAAGAAAGCCACTTTATGCTGTTATCAGAAAAAAACATTAAATAAAACAAAGAATATTTCAAGGTATAAGAGAATCCCAATTGAAAAATAACTAATTTTTCAAGTCATGTAGTATAATTTTTTGTCAAACAGCTGGCTTATATTTGGGAGACACAAATTGCATTAATTCCCCTCTAGAAGGTAGAAAATATTTGTGAAGGACAACAAACGGTTGCTTTACTGATACAATACATTTTCACCAATAAAAGAACAGAACATATGGTTTTAGTGATAATCTTAAGAAACTGCCAAAAATAAAAGAATTCTTTTAAGGAGATAGAAGTGTTGAACTGAAAATCTAATTGTCATGGGTGCAAATAAGATAGCAAAAAAAAGGAAATTTCAAGAGCCGCATTGTCAGGTGACATGTCATGAGGAGGTCAGTGCAGCAATGACATGAATAATTCTGTCGCCAAGTCACCACGACAACACCAGGAAACCTCAAATACTTGCTCTGATGGTTAACAAAAAAGATAGGTGGATTTTAGTAATAATTCAATAATTTCATTTAAACACAGTGAATGAATGACCATCTTTAATTATATATGGCAAAATATTTTAAAACAAAATGTAATTGCTGCTTAGAAAAACGCTTTCAAGCGAAAAAAAATTATAAATTGCTAATTTGAAATTGGAATTTGATTTGCACGCAATCAAAAAGCCAGGCACAAAATTAAGGACAACCTTGAAAAAGGAAAGAAAAATTTAAGCGCATATTTTACACAAATTATAGTTTACTTGAAAGATTTCCAATTAGCCTGAATAGGGAACCGAATTCATGTAGCAATATAATGGATTTACACACCCCTATAAAACGGTTATTGAATTAAGTTGTGCAGAGAGAAGAGATTGCACAGTGAATAAGATATAGGTTTCGAACAAAAACTGCATAAATGATTAATGATTGAAATCTAGTGGTGCGTGGTAGAATCACTATATGCACTCTCTAATACGACAATTAAATATCGGTTAAAACTAAGGCCGTCGTTAGACACAATTTATCCGCATTTCGATTAGTTGAATTAACCCTGTATTCAATTGTTTCAAGAGACAGGACTTTTATCCCTATTCGAACTCTTGTACCCGTCTTCCACCATCCAACTCCCATCAATCCGATTTTTATCGCGGAAGGCCTGCAATTAGTTCCTTTCCAACCGGGCATCCTCCTATCCAAACAGCTATCATCTCAAACACACTTATACGCATGCATTCTGTTACTTTCCATTAAACTACTATCTTATCTACGCTCATCATCATGTTCTTGCGCTTTGTTGATCGACAAAAAAAGGGGGGCATTTTGGCTCCATTTCGCAAACAGTAAAAACGTAGATCTAGAAGAATGCATTGAATCCAATCAAGAAGCGTTAAGATGTTAAAGAAGCTGATAGATGGCAATGATTATGATTAAAGTGCAGACTACATAGAGTCTATGGCATGATCAAATAAGAATAATTGATTTTGAATTTCCAAGGGGGGGAATAGACGGAACTAACCATTTCTAGTGACGACAGGATAGCCATTGATGGCAACCACTTGAAGCACTTGAGTCCCAATTTCGACAGCTCCACTTCCTGGAGCATTGCTCCTAACTCTGACTTGTCTGCTCCCATCTCGAGCTCGAAGGGTGGCTAAACGAAAGGAAAGCAATAATTAGCCCTATCAACTCAAAAAAGATATATACGTATATAAGATTGATCTCCTTTCCCATATAAAAGATTTTGGTAAATAATTATTTATATCGAATGATAGTTATCATTAGCCTTTAAGTTGATTCCAGGCTTCACAGAGGGGAAGAAATATCAAAGTGAAAAAAGTCAAGAGATGGAGGGGGGCAGAAGAGTGTTTCAAAGATGTAAACGAGACAGGCACAAAGGTAGAAAAAAGGTGAGGTGGGTACCGTGGAAGTAGTCGAATATGACATACTGAGGGGTGATGGTAATTTAAAGTCAGATGGCAACTGCTGGTTGATAGACTTTTTGCCGTATGAGTATGTATTGCTCAGGGTGCACCACGTGGAGGGAAGTCTATCGTACACCCCAAGTGGCGGAGACATGGAGCACCTGGGTAACGATCCCAGCACCCCTCGCATGCTAAGCGAGCGCTCTACCATATGAGCTAGAGCCCCACAAGAGGTCAGCAACACCGGGCATTCAACTCAAAAAAGGATATATATATATATATATATATATATATATATATATATATATATATATATATATATATATAAGATCGATCACCTTTCCCATTTAACAGATTTCCCTAAATAATGAAGTCGATGATTTATACTGTTGAAATTTGAACTGTTCAATGAGTAAAAATTATAAGAATATAATTTAAAGAAACAATTTAAGTGGGATTCATTAAATGAAAAGCTCACTTTCTCTCAAAGCCTCCAATTATGCCAGTACCACTTAATGAAATTATAATAAATCAACTTCAACTGATTTCCAATAGTGGAAACTTGTACGAGCTTTGTGTCTTACCGTCACACTCATGGTAATAATCGTATTAATCAAATTTCTTTAATTAGTTAATTAGACAATAGCAAATATTTATTTCTATTAAAATTTATAAAGCAGCATTTTGTGACTAAATGATTTTTTCAGAATGAAATGGCTCAACCTGTCAGATGGCATGATCTTGGTCTGTCAAACTCTGGCAATGGCAAATTAATGACTAAACCCCAACCACCAGAATTGCATAATGACAGGTAACCTGTTTACGTTACAGAAATGTTTTAGATAAGAAAAGTAAATATACTCAATGAGTGCGAGTTTAGGGGAAAAATGGTAGCATAAACAGCTAAAAACTCTGATTATAAATCATTGGTTAAAACGTATTCAAGGTCGTTGCTCTTGGTGGAAAGAAAGATCTCCTGAAGTCGGTCTGACGAATAAGTCATTTTCTGTTGACCAAAACTAATCAAAATGATTGGTTTTTAAGTTACTGCGTCAACCTTGTGAACTCTAAGTGGCAGGATGCACACTTTGATTAGATTAGTCAATGCTGAAGAAAAAACTGTAGGACTTCTAAATCCACTTTACACAATATCTTAAGAAGCCATAATTGAATTTCCTTGAAACAGAAAACCGTGTTGGCGGGGTTTCTTCTATTTAACTCGCTTCCAATCCAAACTAACTATCAATATGCCCCACGCCTCCTTGCTGATAATTCAGATTTGAACACCAATTTTCTGCTTTCATCTCCATCGTCTGTCCCCATTGACAGCGACCAATAAAATTTGGCGTACTTTCAAATCTAGATTTTGAGATTTAAAAAAAGTGATTTTCTGCGATTTGCAAAAACCTTATAATTAGCCTCTAAAAAACCGAAAAGAGAATGAAAATAAACAGTTTCACCAATTTCCAACACTTTAGAATTGATAAAGATAGGTAGAGATTAACTGCAGTGTATAAGACGTGATAATTTGGGTACTGAATTCAAGAGTAGAAAATGAAAATTTGAAAACACAATTCCTTTGACGACCTCTGTTCGAGAGCGTACAGATGTAATATAATTAACTTAATTTACATATTCAAGTTAAATTTCTGTAGCAGAAATGTAAAAGAGAGGTGTGTAGCCATTTAGCTTTAATTAGTATGACTTTTAAAATCTTCTTTTTTTTCCGGTAACATGATCGTCAAAAGTTTATTTTCAATGAGAAACACTTCTATAATTAGCTCCAAGCAAGTTTTGTCAAAGCCAGAATTATGCAGAAATCTTGTAAAACTTTCGAAACACTCCATACTAATCAGCGCAGAAAGAAAGCAATATTACAGTAACAAAGAAAGCAATATTTCAATATCATCACTACAAGATCAAATATAAATTTAAAAAAATTATTTATTTCAAAATTATACAGTCAAAAGTGCAAATCTAGTTGCAGGATTGATGTACTTTCAAGCAATTATAGGGCTACCATCAACAATTCCGAATTACAGAGAGAATTAAATTTTAATATACCAAGAAGTGCATCAGAAAAAGAAACAAAGATATTAAAAGTTAAATAGTAGGTGTCTTCAGTATAGACAATCGATAATAATTAGTAAATTATGAATGGCATTATTACTACTAGGAGTGGTAAAATTGTATTAAATGTAGATTCTTGATAGAATTCGAGATCTTTAACCATGACATTTTTCATGGCAATATAAAATTCATTAAAGATCTGAACAAAACATTCACAACGATTAAAAATAAATAATTTAAAAAAATGCGAGAACAAATAGGACAAATTTTATCATAAAACATAAAACTATATGAGAATAATAAAAGTAATATGAGAATTCTGAAATTTCTACTTAAACAAACCCCTAAAAAGTTTCCTGTTGAAAATATACCTGTTTACGAAAATGCGAATATAGAAGCTAGAAAAGTGTAAATAAATATTTAAATCAATTGAATTTAGCGGTTAACCACCTTTATTTACAGTGGGAAATATTTGGTATCTGAATCTTAGAGGTAATTTCGGAATTTGAAATGAAATAAGTAGATTGAGCAGAAAATCAAATGTCTTATTAAATGCAATTCTTTTAATAAGACATTTAAATAGCTAACAAAGAAAATTGTTCGAAATAGAAAGTTCGCTAAGAGGAAGTCGGGAACTAAATGAAAAAAGGTAATAATAAATAATAATAATAAAATGGGGTGTGCGATAGACTTACCTCCACGTGGTGCACCCTGGGCAACGTATATTCATACGGCAAAAAAGTCTATTAACTGGAAGTTGACTTCTCACTTCAAACTGCCTTCACCTCACTCTATGCCATATTTGAATATTTCCACAGTATTCACCTCACCTTTTTTTCTACCTTTGTGTTTGTCTCTTACATCTTTGAAACACTCTTCTCTTCCTTCCCCCCCCCCTCTCGACTTTTTCAATTTGATGTTCCTTCCCCTCTGTGAAGTCTGAAGTTAACTAAAGGGCTAATGATAACCATCAAGATGCCTGCCATTTGATATAAATAATAATAAAATAATAAATTCTGATCAATGTTAATCCATCGATACAATCTAAAATAAAAGGCAAAATTTTGTGTCCGTGAAATGGTTTTACGCAAAATTTTTCAATGATAACAATTTGGCGAAATCAATTTTTTTGTTGGAAAAGAATATGAAAGCGTGATTTAAAGTTTTACCTGTGGGATTTAGGAGCTGGTAGTTGTTAGAACAAGATCCGTGGAAGAAAAAGAAGACCATAGAATATGCACACACAACTCTATTCTATTTTTTTTCAAATAAAGCAATTCTAATTAAAGGAATACAGCAAAGCGATACGTTAAACGTGTATGTTCAATTGTGAAGAACAATTTAGAAAATTAAATAAGGTGAATTTAAAATTAAAGGGGAAAAAACTTGGCCAAAAATTTACGAAAAAAACGGGAGCAAAGAAAGACCTGTCAACCAATAAAATTAAGGCAAATGGAAAAAACGAAATCAACATCGAATCGATAAAATGACAGGAAGTGGGGATAAATTTAATGTGGCGATCCTGTTGTTTTATTTTCTCATGCTTCAGAAACATGCAAAGGAGGAATTTTTTTCAGTCCAAAAAAGGCGCATATTTTGCAATTACAAACTGAGCTCCATTAATTTTGAAACAGTTTCAACATAAAAAAGTGAGAGAGACGATAAAGGAAACTGAACCAAATTTGAGTCGTGTAAGACATTAAAAAAGAAATATTTTAAGCAGAATTAATGGAAGATAATTTAAAAAAAAAATTGAAAATTCTTTAAAAGGAAAAATTAGAAAACAGTTGCATTTCCGAATAATCTAAATTGTTAGCAAACCAGGTGATTAGATTATCAGTGATAATGTAAATAGACCTTAAAAAATTAATGAAATTCCTTAGCAAATGAATTTGATATTTGTAAGAAGGCATATAAAAGCTTTCAATGTGTTTGTTATAACATTCTGCAACAAGATTTTAACAGGAGTGGGAATTTACTCTCGTTGCCTATTTCTCACGAGTGGAATTAAAAAATAATTCATTTTCGTCTTTAAAAACAGCGCGAGCAAAGAGGATTACAAGGTTATTCACATTTTGCTTGAGCAAATGAGATTGAGAAGAACAAATGATTTGAGTTATGTATGGAACAGCGTAGAAGATAATAAGACCCAAAAAACGAAAAAACCCGATTTGTGAATGTGTGTTTGTTGGTGCAGTAAGAAAAACATAGGAGGTCACTGCTACAAACAATGACTCCTATTCAAATACAGAAACAGTTAATTTCTTTGAAAAAAACTCAACGCCTAGAGACGAATTTTGAGGAAAGAAAGAAGTCCTCAGTTTGATGCACTAACACGATATAAAGGTGTCGAAATTTAGCAATCACTTGCTTGGAAGACGTCAAATTTGCGCCATAACAGAGGAGATTCACGTGAACACAGATAGGTGAATCGATGTTATAGTTTAGAGTGCACGATAAACTTACATCCACGAGGTGCACCCTGGACAACGTATTCTCATAAGGCAAAGGTTCATAAAACGAGAGTTGACTTCTTAGCCCAATTCACCATGACCCGACTGCATGTCATATTCGACCACTTCCACAGAACTCATCTTACATTCTCTCTGTCTTTGTGTCTGTCTGTCTGTCTGTCTCTTTTACACCTGTGAATCACTCT